GGTAAGTATGATCTACTACAATTTTGGAACTAAGTTAGCAAACTAGAGAATGCTGGAACCTAAGCTTGGGTGAGGGGTCAGTGCGGGGAAGCCAGCAAGATGGAAGATCACATCTGCATCACAGAGTGAGAAGCACAAACTCTGGAGATACTGGAGATACTGGGTGCCTCTGAAAGGGGATAAGGAGTGAGGATTGATGCAATGTTTATATAGGGGGCTGATAAGACTCTCCACCCTCTGGCCCTTCCTCTGTCCTACACGGACCAGCACCTGCTTCCTTCATTCCCAGCAGGAGATGGAGGAGCTGACTTTATGTAGAGGTTTGTGCAGCTGGTTGTGGGGAGAAGGTCCTGTACTGAAAAGAAGGGCATTGATTCTGATTTGGCGAACTCCGTATCAGTGGCCTTCCTCCTCCACTGAACCCCCACATTTCTGAGAACCAGATTTATACCCTCCCAGGCAGAAACTCAAGGGGTTCCTCTTTAGGGAACTAACCAGCCCAAGAGACAAGAAGAACAGATGCTGATATTTGAGGTTGAAAAACCCAGCTTTCTGTCTTTTCGCCCCATGTTGAAGTTCACCAGTCAATAACCACTACCACCTCCTCCACATCCTTCATAAACATGAATTCAGGTAAGAATCACCACATGTCCAGTAAAAACTTTTAGTATGAAGGACTGGGACCAAAATAAATGAACCAAAACAAAAGTGCCTCAGCGAACAGGGAAAAAATATATAAAAAAGCACTTTAATATCCTCAGATATACAAGAATAAAATAAAATAACAATTATTAACATTTATTTAGCAGATACTGTCCAGAGCACTTTATATCTATTGCCTTATTTAATGTTCACAAGAACCCTATGTGATGTATATATTATTACACTAAAGATTAATAAACCAAGGCACAGAGAGGTTAAATAACTTATCTAAGATCACACAGCTCACAAATAGTACTGGGATGGGATCTCAAGCAGTTTGGCTCTATGGCCACTATTCTATATTTGGAAGTAATAAGAAATAACACAGAAATTAAAACTATGATTACACAAATATCTGTAAAAGGGTTCAAGATAAAGTTGAGGAAATTTATCAGAAAATAGAATTAAAAAATCTAAATCTAGAAAATGGCAGAGAAAAAAATAACCAAAAAAAAAAAAAAAGCTCAATATGAGTTCAAGGAAAAAAACACAAAAACAATGAGAAATGGAGAAAATTTTTTTAAAAATTCATACAGGAATTTCTCCCCCCCCCCCCCCCACCAGAATTTAAAGATATGGATTTCTAGATTGGAGGGGCCCATGGACAGGCCCCTGGAACAAAAAATACAAACACCTTCACCAAGACTGTAATTCTGAAATGTCAGAACACTAACATAAGCAGAAGAGCATAAAGACTCAGAATATCATCAGACTTCTTAGCAATAGCACTGGAAGCTAGAAGAGCGGAACAATATCTTCAAAATGCGGGAGGAAAATTACTTCCAGCCCAGAATTCTCCAGCAATCTAGTCTGCTAAGTTAGTATCCAGCAAAATAAAGGTGGAATAATGATAGTTTCAGATATGTCATTTTAGATAATACAAACTCCGATGACCTTTTCTCAGGAATCTGAGTGTTATCAAAACAAGGACATAAACTGAGAAGTATATAGGAATATATAGGATCCAGTAAGCAGAAAACTGACATATGCTCCCACCATATCAACCAGCTTACTTGTGCCTGTGAATTCAGATGTCCATGTTCTGTCTACCTGTGCTCCACCCTGTTCCCTCTGACCTACTCAGGGAAACTGCTCTGCACTTGCCATCTCTTTTCCTTTGTCACTGTTTTCCTTTCAACTGAACCACTCGGTAGCACACAGACTCTAAGGGACCACTGACACATGCCCCCTCGTATTCAGAGCTGTAGAATCTCCTCCCTGAGTGTAAGTAGTCCTTGTTCCTTCCAGTCAATAAAACGTGGCAAAAGTGCAGATATTTTGCAGATGGTTGAGGTCCTAAAGCAATTGATTTTGAGTTAATACACAGTGAGTTTACCCAGGGCTTGACTTAATCAGCTGAAAACTCTTTAAGCCTCCCCGAGGGGAAAAGTCTCCTTGCTGGCTTGATGAAGAGAGCAGCCCTGTTGAGGAAGCCCATGTGAATCGCCTTTTTCACGTAGTTTTCAGGACACCACTTTTTAAAAATTTTTATCTTTATTGTTGAAAGTATTACAGATGTCCCCTTCCCCGTACCCTCTCCCCCCATTAACCTCCTCCACCCTGCTCTCTTCCCCTCCTCAGGCCTTCCCTGCGTTGTCTATCCATGGGCTTTGCATATATGCACAGAAATTCATTGGATAAACTCTTCCTGCTCCCCTCCCCCTTCCCTCTGAAATATGCCAGTCTGTTCCATGCTTCAATGTCTCTGGATCTTTTTTGTTCATTAGTTTATTTTGTTATTAGATTCCACATGTAAGTGAGATCATGTGATACTTGTCTTTCTCTGACTGGCTTATTGCACTTAGCATAATACTCTCCAGATCCCTCCAAGCTGTCCAAAGGGTAAGATCCTTCTTTTTTACAGCTGCATAGTATTCCATGGTGAAATGTACCACAGTTTTTTAATCCAGTCATCTACTGATTGGCACTTGAGCTGTTTCCAGGACACCACTTTTTCTTTGTTCTCCTCCTCTTCTGTCTACATCTTCTCAATTTTTTTTTACTGGATAGTAAAAAAGTCTTATCCTCTTGACCTCTAAATATTGAAGCACATCAAGTCCAATGCTTTTAAAACACATTTATATGTAAATGATTCTCAAATTTATACCTCCAGATCCACCTCTGAACTCAATACTTAAATTTTATTTTTTATTTTTATTGATGTCAGAGAGGAAAAGAAAGGGAGAGAGAGATAGAAACATCAATGATGAGAGAGAATCATTGATTTGCTGCCTCCTGCATGGCCCACACTGGAGATTAAGTCCACAAGTCGGGCATATGCCCTGACTAGGAATTAAACCGTGACCTCCTGGTTCATAGGTCGATGCTCAACCGGCCGGGTTGAACTCAATATTTTTGTATTCAACTGCCTTGAGATGTCTAAGAGGCTCACCCCTATTTATCTTGTTCAACTCTCTATTACTAGTTCTGCTCTATCCACAGTTCCTAGAACAATGCCTAGAACACAGTGACACTCAATATGTATTGAGTAAAAAAAAAAAATGGAAGGAGGGGAAAAAGAAAGAAGGAGGGGGGATGCATGCTGAAGAAAAGCTAAGGGAATGCTTAGGATAATGGTGAAAGGCCTGGGATAGCTGTTCAGCAGGTTCAGCGATCATCCAGGTCCAACGGAAGCAGGAAATCAAAGGCATACAGAAGGACATCCCCCAGGAAAAAGAAAGGCACTGATACATTGTGTAATTCGTTTGATTGTATTGTGGAAAACTACACCTCTGGCAGAGGGTTGGGGAACGAATAAAAGATAGTTTCAGAGAAAACTAGACAATTGAATAAAATAGCACAGTCCACTCCAGGGAAAACAGAAGGTTGAACAAGAAAAGAAATAAAATCAAAGAACACTATGTGGCTTAGCCATAAGCAATATTTATGAGGTCATAACAATCAAAACACCAGTGCTGGTACAATCCAAAAGTGTGGTATGATTATAGAGGGCAGAAAAAGAGAAAGAGAAGAGTGTGAATCTGTTTGTGTTTCTGTGTCTATGTTTTGGGAGCATGGAATAAGAGCACCTGAATATTCTGTAACAGGAAATCAATAGAAATGTCTGAAATGGAGGATCAAGTAATAGTAGCATATATATTATTTAGAAGCATGTCATTCAATAGCAAAAGAAATAGCTTAAATAATTGCAAGTAGTTCCACCTGGGAAATGGGAATGAAATACTCATATTACTTTGTTAAACTGAGGAGTATGAATTTCTAAAGCAGGTACTCAGTTACAGGGATCTCCACATTTCATACAGCTGTTTCCTTTATTTCTGGGTTCAGGGGACCATATAGCTGAGATTTTTCCAGCCCCTATTTAGTGGGTTAAACCTCTGGTGGGAAATCCCAACCCTGTATCTTCAGGTTCTATAAATTTTAGAAATCAGCTGTTCTTAAGACAGGTAGCCACATTTTACAGAGTATTATTCATTCTCTAAATATTCCATTTATTGCACCACTTAGTTTAATGTTCATGAAATTTTTCTTTGTTTTATAATATCTTGTTCTATCAGTAATTTCATTTTTTTTTTTGCTCTTCGTTTTCTTTCTCCAATTTAGTTACTTCATTGTCACTTGTGAAATTCAAGAACCAAGATTCCCAGGTGTAGAATTCTCTTGCCAGTCATCATCCCGGTGGGATAGAATGTTCCATTTTTGCATTCAGTCCTCTTAGAGCTAATGTGTGCTTTATCTGAAGAACAGCTTACCCTTTACCCTGCCTCAGAGTCATCGTGTCTTTTGTTGAACTGTGTGGTCTAGTAAATTCTGTTTGCTCTTTTCCTTGCCAACAGAAACAAATTACACATGTATCAAAGCAGAAGGGGATACTTGGGGTATTTAAACGACATTTTATTTACCATTTTAAAGGTAAATTTTCTGCATTTTTCAATTCTTTTACTGCACAAGTCCTAGAATTTGTAAAAGCACATGTAAGCGGTACATACTTAGCAAATAGCCATAGGTATCATTTTAGGAAGACTCAGGGGCATTTAGATCTTTTTGTGCATGAATGTTTTTATTCATCTATGAGCAGTCCTTGGTGTTACTCCTCTTAGATGACTTTAAAATGATTTAGACTTTTAAAATTTTTTATTTTTTAAAGTATTTTTTATTGATTTCAGAGAGGGAGAGAGAGATAGAAACATCATGTGCCCTGACCAGGAATGGAACCATGACCTCCTGATTCATAGGTTAACACTCAACCTCTAAGCCATGCCAGCCAGGCTGCTAAAATGACTTAGACTTTTAATTCAGTCATCTCTGTTAACCACCAAACCCACAATTCCATTTACCTGCTGGAAGCCTCTTCATGGCCATGTTGCCAATACCCCAAATTCAATTACCAAACTTATCAGAAACAAAAAATTAAGCTCTGTCCCTTTAGAATTGTTCTTCCTCCTCTGTTCGCCATATCTGTAAATAGCATCGTAACACCTTCTAGTCACTGGCTTAGACTCAGAGCCTCCGATGACCTTTGCCTCTCGCATCCCAAAGTGGATTAGTTGTCAAATCCTGTTGATTCCATTTTCCTGGTGTCTTGCTGACATTTGTCCTCTCCACGCCATTCCTGTCTGTCTGTGTCAGTATGCTCAGGCTGCCATAAGATGCCATGGAGTGGGTGGCTTAAACAGCAGAAGTTTGTTTTCTCACACTTCTGGAAGTTGGAAGTCTGAGATGAGGGAGCCAGCATGGTTAGGTTCTGGTGAGAGCCCTCTTCCTGGCTTCCCACTGTGTCCTCACGTGGCCTCTTTGTAAGACCACTGATCCCACTGGATTAGGACCCCACCCTTATGACCTCAGCTAACCTTAATAACCTCATAAAAGCCCTGTCTCCAAATACTGTCACATTGGGGGTTAGGTCTTCAACACAGACATTTTTAGGGACACATTTCAGTCCACAGCACTGTGGCAGGCTGGGTCTTCCTCATCTCTTGCCAGAATATGTCTTCTAATTAACGCCCTCATCTCCGGTCTTTCTCATATCTAATGACACATTATTTTGAGAAATCTTTTCTAGGTACATTTCTGTTTATGGCACAGTTTGCTTAAAAAAAAAAAAGATGGCTTTCTGATTCCTGGAGAGTAAAGGCAAACCTCATTATCATGAAATTCAAGGACTTTGATAATGTGATTCCAACCTAATTTCCCAGCTTTTAGCTCAAAATCCCCGTCATGCCATTTCTACCACAACCAAATTGGAATACTTGTCTTTTTCTTACCATGTCTTTCAATTGCCTGCCTCCACTTGGAAACCCTCATGCATCTTCCCCAGTCAGAAATCTCACCTTTTGGTGAAATCCCCCCCCCCCCCCCCCCCCCGCTCATGAGCACTTCTTTGATCCCTTGGCCAGAAGTATTCACTCCCTATTTGGTGCATCCTTTTGTACTTGTATTATAGCCTTTTGTTTTATTTGTGGAATTGTGTGGCCTCCTTCTGGAAAATAATATGATAGAAGCATTGGGCCATGGCTTGACTTCACAGGGTGCAGCAGAATCCTTGCAGGGCCTAATACCACGCAGGCATTCAGTGAATATTTGTTTATATGAACCATGAATCTGTTCATGGAATGATAATATTTCATAGTCCAATGGACATAAGATAATATTTAGATTAGTGATTTTTAAAGCTATGTTAATTGGAGTTATAGTCAATTCCATACTTTAGTCTTTGACAAAATATTTCATTTGAAGAAAGGGTTTTGTTCCAAATATTTTAAACCACTGATCTTATTCAACTCCTTCATTTTGTAAATGAGAAAAACCAGGCCAGATGGAAATTAAAAGTGACATTCCCAAGGTTTTCCAATTATTTATTAGCAAGATCCTGATATAAACTGTATTATTTGAAAACATATACTGGTACAGCTGCTCTGCCTTTTGGCTAAGATCAAGTGAAAATATATACTTGTAGAGCAGCTTAGCAACCTCATCCTTTCCAGGGTAATACCCTGCTACTGGAAAAGTTCAGATAATATCTGAAGCTAATCAGAATAACTCAGTAAGGGCACCTGAGGTTAAATCTCATTAAATCATTTTTTCTAGGCACTGTTTGGTACTTTAAGAACATGAAAGATTGTGTTTTCTCAGGAAATGTGTTATTCACCATGAATCCCAATAAAATAAGGCCATTGTCTTAAAAGGCTGGACACAAGCTAATAATCCCCTAAACTCTATAGAGTATTGAGCAAAGCTTTGAGCATATAAGCCCCATGATTTTTCAGGGACTACCTCAAAATAAGACCACGTAGTAATTAGGATATCAAATATGCTTGCTGTTTGTGTATGCTTGTAAGATAATGTTAATGTTATAATAGCATTTTTAGCTTTTGCTTAGTTCTTGATTTTTTTTTTGGGGGGGGGGGGCATTTCTTTTAACCAAGCCCTAAATTCACAAGGTCTCAAAAAATAAGGAAGAATTGAAGGAGCATAAAAAGCTACCGAAAGTATTGTTTTTACTGCAATGTCACTTTACGATAGTTCACTGTTACTAGTAGCAGCATAGCCTGACAAGGCTTATCTATCTATTTAAATAGAACCTGCTACTTAAGGAACTCGGAGCTCTGTGAAGCATGCCTTTTTTGGCATGAAATCATCCAGGGAGGATGGGAAGCTATTGGGAAGAGAGTTTATCATCAATAATAACATGTCCAAGATGCTACTTCCTGGGCCAATTTATGTATTTAGATTTGATTTCCTATTTTTGGAGCACATCTCGGTGAATGGAAAATATTAATGCTGAGACTCGCACTAAGCAAAATGAATAAGAATAAGCCTCAGAAGATATTCGAAATGCAACCGTTTTCCAGGATTAAAAAATACGGAAAATTACCTGTTTGATATAGATTAAGGAACATTTCCTTTTAGTAGCTGTATTTGGCTCTCAGAGAGAATTCATCCAGGAGTCAGCATTATTTATAGCACCCACTCTGTGCAAGACACCGTGCTAGGAAGGGAAAATTAGGATGAAGGCAAATGTACCTGATCTTATATTCTGGCTGAGGAGACTGACATTAAGCAAATAAATGGAAAAACAAATTACATAATTATGGAGAAATACAGGATGGTCTGAGAAACAATAAACTAGGAGAACTAATTAATTTGGCAGTGAGTAGCTGTGTCCTCTTTGTGGACTGCTGGTATTGGGTATAGACACACCATTTTTGGCCATTAAATAGAGCCAGAGAATGTTAGCGGCAGGGCTGTCAGAGCAGGAGCAGCTGATGCCATTATTATGATCCTTGGCGCAGAGCCCATGCCCCAGAGTTAGCAGTTGGCAAAAGGTAGCCATTTTGCATAGGACTTCCTCGCTTAACACACATCCCCCCTCAGTGTGCAGGGCCTCTGCCTGGCCTCCACAGCTGGCTTTGCTGTATATTGCAGAAGCCTCTGATTTTAGTGGGAACTGGGTCAGCATCAGTCATGAAGAAAATACTTGACAATCTTTTTATTTAACTTCAAGTTGCCAATGCTTTCTGTATAAATATTCTTAACTTAAAACAATTTTTCTGGGTGGGTGATATAAAAAAAACCAGGAAATCAAAACATGCACAATTGTAATATTTATCAAAAGCCAGTCTTTCTCCTTGCATTATTTCTATTCTAGAGGCCTGGTGCACGAAATTCGTGCTCTGCGTGGGTAGGGGGGTCCCTCAGCCTGGTCTGCACCCTCTCGCAGTCTGGGAGCCCCGGGGAAGGTGGGGGCAAGGCTCCTGCCACTGCTGCCGCTGCATTCGTCAGGCTTCTGGCTGAGCGGCGCTCCCCATGTGGGAGCGCACTGACTCCCCCTGTGAGAGCGCACTGACCACCAGGGGCAGCTCCTGCATTAAGCGTCTGCCTCCTAGTGGTCAGTGCATGTCATAGTGATTCCACCGTTTGGTCAATTTGCATATTAGCCTTTTTTTATATAGGATTGATGAGTTTCTTTAATGAAATCCTGTTCCATTTTGGAGGTCAGATTTATTAATTGTTAATGCAACAGAAACCTAAATTAAATACCTCAACCCGAGCTTTATACATTTTTGTTGTGCATTTTTACTTCTACTCATTAGAGAAGATTTTCCTCCTAAGGCTTGGATGCACTATTTTATATCAAATAATTCCTTAAAAATCCAACTTATTGACCTAGCTGGTTTGGCTCAGTGGATAGAGCGTTGGCATATGGACTGGAGGGTCTCAGCTTTGATTCTGGTCAAGGGCACATGCCAGGGTTGCAGCTCAATCTCCAGTGGGGAGCATGCAGGAGGCAGCCAATCAATGATTCGCTCATCAGTGATAGTTCTATCTCTCTTGCCCTTCCTCTCTAAAATCAATAAAAATATATTTTTTTAAAAATTCAACCTATTGCCCTGACCGGTTTGGCTCAGTGGATAAAGCGTCAGCCTGTGGACTGAATGGTCCCAGGTTCGATTCCGGTCAAGGGCATGTACCTTGGTTGCGGGCACATCCCCAGTAGGGGGCGTGCAGGAGGTAGCTGATCGATGTTTCTCTCTCATCGATGTTTCTAACTCTCTATCCCTCTCCCTTCCTCTCTGTGAAAAATCAATAAAATATATATATTTAAAAAAAATTAACCTATTTCTGTATTCCTGTGGTCAGTGTTTTTTGTGATCTACCCTTCTTCTACTTCCTCCTTTGTATTTAAGTAATAGTTCACTGAACAGAAGAACTCTATTAACCCTCTGTTCTCCGTTCAAGACTTCCAGAAACCTTTCTTATTTGGATTTCCATTAAAAAAATGCTTTCTGAGTTCATTCATCTTTCTGTAAACTTAGATCCTAAAATTTCATTGTTTTCATCAATCACCAGTTTTCTATAGAGAGCTATCCAGTTCTATCCATTCCCTCCCATAATTCAAGGTCAGTCTCAATTGGTTAGTCTCTTTTACTCATACTTTCTAAGTTGCATTTTTCATTAACATCCCTTGTACCCACCCCACCCCCATTTTCTCCATTCAATCTAGAAGTAACTTGCCTCTTTCTTTGAGTTCCCTGCTAGTTATCCAATCCTTTTCAGTTTTAGAAAAGTCGAACACATCCCTTTAAAATATGCATTTATCGTGTCATGGCTCCCCTCTAATCCATGTTCCTTCTCTTTTTTGGAAGTTGTAAGAGGATGATTGCAATGCCCACATAACAGTGTAAACTACAATGGAATCAAACAAAAGGAGCACTGAATGCTAAGACCTGTGTTCAAATTCCAAAGCCTCCCTCACTAGGTTTGGGTCACATTGATGCTGTTCTGGGCCTCAGTTTTTTCCTATAAAATGAAGGATTTGGATACTAAATAACCTCTAAGATTCTTTTTTGAAAAAATATATT